TTGGTTTTGGTTTAAACTCCTGCGTGACGTGATCGGGAGGGCCCTCGCCCGCGCGAGGGCCGATGAGCTCGACAGGTGGCGCCGTTGCCGGGGATCGGGTATTTTATTTTATAGTGAATATATTTATCGTATTCTCATTATTTTATCTTCATTGATTGATTTTATTATCATTTTGTCTCAATAAAATTATTTTCGGATTTCATTCTTGAGATTATTTTGGTTATTTTTGAACGTTCAAGTTAGGTTCAAATTCATAATATCTTGATATTAATTGTGTCGTACTTCGTTATTGTTTTGATATACGAGTTATTGTGTTAAGAATTACCGTTTTCATATGACACATCTTAATCATATTGTTTATCATGAACTTTGAGGTATTATTTTTACTTATAATTCTTGCGTAAATTGTTACTGGTTGAAACTATTTTGAAAAGTTGTCAACCAAACGTTGACTTCCTTTTGATATTATTTAGCAGATTTATTTTGTCATACGTCAGATATTGGAATGATGAATATTTCGATTGATCAGTTTACCCGGACTCCCATTCATTTCGAGATTATCCGTTTTATTGATGCATTTCTATGATTGAAGGCATCTGATTTATTGTTGAAGATTTATTTCGCTTGGATCGTTATAAATTTCGTGTGAAAGCATTTGTTGTAAGTTGTATTGTTGTTTTTGCATATTTTTGAAGTAAGTCTTGAAGGCGTTATCATGTCTCGATAAATTTCTGATGGATTTGTGAGCTCCGTAGGTGGTAGTGAGGCCCACGTCGGAGCTATGCTCCTGGTCCATAGTGGGATGTTGTCTTTTGTACCCTATGTGGTTTAAGGGAAAGAGGACTACATTATCACGGAAAGGGAGGAAGGAAGGTGTTGAGGTCTTATTAGAATGATGCTTGTAGGGTAGACGACTATCGTTTGCCGCAAGGGGAGGAGTGGCTACCTAACCTCGTGTCAAGCATGGTCATCGTACCTCTATGACCGKGGTCTAGCCAGCCTCGGTTATTTTAGGTGGGGCAGTTCTACTCTGCACACAGAAGACTAATGTGATCGAAAACACTGGAATCGGAGAGAATGTGGTGAGGCTCGAATCTTAAGCGGGGCTTGATGTCGAGATGTTTTCCTCATACAGATTACACCGCTCCTCGACGCATTCACAAGGGGTGTCATAAATAAAAGTATGTTATGCAGAATAACAATGCAAACCACTTTTGCCTCAGAGTCATGTCAGAATTCCTAACCAAACTTGAGTTAAAAGTCAAAAACTATAAAAAGCTTAAAAAAAG